TAATACCATCATATTAATATTTTTTCAGAATTTTCAATTGCCAGCTACATACCTAAGCTGAATGCCTGTTTGGTTTCGTGTACCGGCAAAAGGCACAGGCAGCCAATTTCTAATCAGCCTTTGTGCTAATAACCATTCAGATATATAAGAGGACCTTCTTCTACCTATCTATTCCTATACCTGTTCTCCGGACCTATAGGCGTAGTATGATACAACGTGTAGAAAGTCTGATTTCGATATACCTCCCGTCCCGCTGTGAACCCTGGTGGAATAGGTATTATTCTCACATACATAAAAAAAAGAAGTAGCTTCAGAGTAGTGGTTGTATACTCACGTTTTGGATTCGAACCTGTAACCTTTCGATCTCTAGTGCAACACCTTGCCTATGATTAGGTACCTACGCCACAGATCCTTAGGTATCTAATTTGAATTAAACGGAGTGCTCAAAACATAAGAATGTATGGATTTAGATGTTAGATACAAGAAGGTAATTCGATAGATGCGGAGTAAAATGTGAGTAAACAGTAGAACGCGGTTAATGAAGTTCAGTAATAGAAAGTGTTATTTATTAATTGCGTTATTTATGGTATAACCTATAGCTTCAAAGGCGTTACAATACAATTACACGTTCTAAGTAGGTATGTATCGTATAGGGCCCTCGTGTAGTATGCAGCTGGTGAATCAATATTAGGTATAAACATTTTAAGGAACTTATTTTCAGCATTTTCATACTGTACTATGTACCTGTAGTTTCAAATTCATCCAAATTATTAATCCTTTATAAGCGTATAATACTTTTATACATATTAAATATATTAAATAAAAATACTTTAAACCAATACAGATGGAAAAACCATTTTAAAACACCTACAATTTCAGGTAAATTCAGGGACTTATTGATTTTTGAAATCGTTTAAAATTACACTACATACGTACACTCACCTCTCTATATCAAAAGGGGTAGACAGTGGCGTATTGGTAGTGTGATTCAATTACCTCATTTCGACTCAAGAATGGTCCTTTATGCATCCAGGAAAGGTTAGCTAGGTGAACCAACCAAACTCCTTCCGGAAGCGTAGAAGCCTCCTGTGCCGTACACAGGCTTCTAGGAGCGATTTTGTATCGTAGATAGAGGCGTGTTGAACGCCCAAATTTTGCAGAATATAATTTTGGTCCCATTTAGAAAAGTAGGTAATAGAGGCCTATTACCGTCAACTGATTAAACATACTCGTATTTCTCTATTAACATACATTCATTTTTCTAAATATATATCATATCCTTCCAACCTTACATAGGTATTATAAAATAAAGTCCCCCGGGCACATCTGCCCGTCTGTATACACGCGATAAACTCAAAAACTACCGAACGGAATTTTGTACGGTTTTCACCAATAGATAGTGTGGTTCCTGAGGATTTTATGTAAATTTACTTAAATAACACGATTATTGTTGAAGAGCTCAGGCCACAATAAAGTCAGCTTGCAAGGGAAATCAAAATTATTTTATCCGTTTAGATGTTACGATATCACATGCCGACAGATTAAGGTAAACTTAAAACACAGTGACTATTCTCCGAGTGAGTAACGTTTGCGTTCTCACCCCATACCTATTAGCTATGAATACCTATACATGTATACGTACCTACGTATCTATATAACTAGTAGTTTCTAGGGTCGTTATTCTGGGAGGACATTGTAACACTACTTTATAATAGAATCATGTTACTATGCCACACTTATGTCATAATAGTAACTCTTTACCTAGTCTATTACTAAATGTACGTTTGTTGTTTATTAAAACCTAAACGTGACAAGTCTGTACAGTTGTAACTCCGTTATGCAATGTGGAGACAATATTATCATTTTCTTGGTAATAATTGCCTACAGCTGTCTGGTGTCGTTAAGTGTAAAATTTTGAAAACAATACATGTTCTTTATCATGTAGGTTATTAGGCCAGTAATAGTTGTTCCGTGTGGGGATCGAACCCAAAACACTCAACGCAGTAAAAAGCGGCGAGGTGCACGCTTAAACCACTTCGCCATCCGTGCAGTCAAAGGACGATAGCTTGCCCTTCCAGTTGACAACAGATTATCTCATTTTTCTGAGGTCTGTAGTCTGTACACGTCCGTACTTGTGACAAACGTTTGACTTCGAATAATCAACAACCGCTCACGATTATTTTTATAGAATTCATAACTTATCAAATACGTAGCATGTAAGATCTACTCGTATGTAAGAAGTACGTAAGATCTACTTCTCGGAATCAGATGTTAGATTACAGTGACATCTAGTACAGAATAGGCATATGACACTACGCTCCATAGTGTGATCCCGACACACTCATACGACTTTTATAAGTTCCAAATATTACCGCAAGATGGAGCTGTTTTAAAAAAGAATCAAATCATGATTTTATTTTTTAAAGGTATCAATTCTTGATGAAATATATAATATTTTCTCTCGCAAGTTTAAAACAGATGTCGTCTTTCTTTGGATTGCACTAATTATAGTGCTTACTTTATTATTTTTTTAATCAGAATGGTGCTCAAGTCAAAAGTACAAATCCCCTCTCACACGCCCCAGTTTTTACTATGTTGCTTGCTCTCTTTTAAATAAAGTAAATAAAACTAAACGTCATATAATAAAATATATTGTCTTTTAATTTTTGATCACACTTCAAACGATTCACTCCAACTTATTAACTAAGAAAAATATCCTTTTATATGAGTAGTATATTAACTCATTAGCGCAGGCACAGTTTAAGATGAAACGAAACTTACAATAATAACTACTGGACACCAAACCAAACAAAGCTTTAAGAAATAAAATGCCAGCTTAGCCATCGTTAGTGTACATGTAAGTAGACATTGGTAACTTCCAGATAGCAGGATGCGTACTTCATTGTGTATTTCGTTAAAAAACAAGCATTAAATAAAATCCTCTTAACGACTACAAAGTGCTTATGACATTTGAAAGGTTAAACAGATTATTTAGAATTGTATCTACGAACACCAATCGAGTCATTTTTTAAACAAAGAACTACTTAAAAATCAATAGCAGTCCAATGGTTTACGAGTTATGATACAGTTAGATAAAAAGAAATGGCCATTTTGAGGAGGTTATCAACATTGTGACTTCGTGTGATAACTATGGGTCATGAATACAGATTCCAACAAAGAAAACATTCTTCTAGTGGTGTACTAGTGTAATTAAGAGTATAATTGTGCAAGCTAATTTACAATTAATAATACAACTGAAACAACGGCGATTTATTTGATTAGCACATACAATGAGTTAACTAGATCATTTCTCTTGTTATTTGAGATTAAAATTTCGTTACTACAATATAATAAATATTACATAGTTAGGTACATATTTTATCAGTCTTATATAGTATGTTATTTTATTAATGAATTACCACAGAAGAACAATTGGAAGAGGAAGTGGCGTGATTAGCTTAATAATTATGGCACACTAGTGTGCCATAATTATTAAGCTAATCCTGATAAAAATTAATGTTTAATGCATAATAAAGCAATTTTTTTAGTTTATATATATCTACATTTAGCCATATTAAGTGAATAAAATAAATATATATTTTTATTTATTTATTTATATTAAAAATATTACTTTTTTAAAATGTTTTCATTTAGTATGAGATAGCGTCATCGTTCCTTAAACAAAAATAGCTTGTTAATATTTTCCGTGGTCATTAATGCATGATCAATAAAGCTAACTTTACAAATTCCTCCGGGATGAGCTTTTAATTGACTAAAATCCATGGTTTGTTTTTTACAGTATTGGATTTAATCATCGAGTTTTCTTTTTCTTTACATATAAATTCATCAATCTTATTAAATCAGATTACTTATTCTATGGTGAAACACATCTTTATTTTTTCTCAAGCAACTAATTTTTTGGTAAAAATAATCTTATTTCTAATAATTTCTAAGCTTAAATTTATCTAATATCAGCTTTATTTAATACTGGCTTGCCCCGCGGCTCCGCTCGCGTGTATGTCGGTTATCGAGGTAAAAAGTAGCCTATGTCACTCGTTGATAATGCAGATTACCTTTGGTGAAAGAATTTTTTTTAAGGCATGAAAGCGTAACAAACAAAAACTCACTTTCACATTTCACATTATAAACGTAATATACCCTCATGCCTATTTCCCCGTAAGGGTAAGAAGAGGCGAATTAAATGCCTCTATTTTGCCATTATATATATTAGATAGGCAAATGTCCATATATTGGGCTTTCTGTGACAATACAATATTAAATACAGATAAACACATATGGGTGGTATTTATTGCTAAAATCACACTAAAAGCCGTGAAATCTTATTTATATACACGTAAATAACATAATGTAATTGCACTAATATTAGTGTAAACACTGTAGATGTTTTTTAATAAAATAGTTTTTTTTCAATTCATTTTTCCGGTAAAATGCATATATGTGTAGGATGTAAAATAGTAATTTATTATTTCTTAAATTTTTTATTTTTATCTATTTCATTGATAGATAAAATACTTATCAACAGACGTTTCAATCTTAGAAGTCAGGTTTATCTCCATAGTCTGTTCGCGTTAAGAAAATAATGACCCATCGACTAAGGCTCGCCCCCTGACCAACCAGGTTCCCAGCTATACAGTAACGATAATTTTTGAAGTGAAACTTCTTTAGAATTATTGTGATTTGAAACGAAAATGCGTCACGATAAAGAAACAAAGACATAGAAAATATTTTGACACTGTGAAAATTTTTATCTTTTTATTAATACTAGTTGGTACCCGCGACTTCGTTCGCGTGGAAATTAAAAAATGCTGCCTTAGTGAGTTCGATTCCCGGACCGGCAAAAATTATAGGGTTTTTCTGAGATAAATATTTTTTTTTTTCGGAAGATTCACTTCCGCCGTGTGTGAATTGCACACACACACTTTTTTCGTTTGCGTCCCTATTATCTTAACGGGGATGTGCTATAGTGCAGCAGTAGAGCGTTACGCCCAAGCCTGAGTGCTGCCCTCGCGGTGCACGCGCGCGATCTCGGTGCGGAGCGTGCGCTCGTTGGCGGCGGCCTCCCGCAGCTCGGCCTCCCGCGCGCACGTGTCCTCCAGCTGCCGCTGTTGCACGCGCAGACTGTTCAGTTGGGATTGGAGGGCGGTCACGGTGGAGTACGTTGAGTTCTTCAGCTGTGGGATAAGATATTAACAGATAAATAATACAATTTACATTACACATTTATAGGATAGTTATGATACATACATACTCTCATGAATGTATCCCCGTAGGAGTAGCATATTTTCTAATTAATTAATTTAATTTAATTTTGGTCTGACCGACATAATAGGGCTGAACATAGTCATCTAGACATTTTGAGGATTAAAAAGACTGGCTGATGGACTCTATGCTCTAACTAATCGGTTTGACATTAAATTGTACTATACTTCTAGTTTTGTCTTAGTTTAGTTCAGTAGAAAATAGGTTTATACTAAATTATTAATAATAATACTTTCGAACATCTGACACACAACGCTATCTAGTTTCAAACTAAGCAGAGCTTATCCTATAAAAGTGAGATTGACTGATAGAATACTTCTATACTTTTTTTGTAGATACATACATACTATACATAGAAAACAACAACAAATATTTGTAGATCATACAAACCTTTGGTCCAACCCGGGAATCAAACCCGAGACCACAGCACAGCAGTTGCATACGCTAGTACTACACCACCGAGGCAGTCAAATTACTTAAGTTTGGGAGAGTATATTTTAGTAGTATTTTATAGTGAGCCCTTGGTACGTTGTGGTTTATGTATTGAATAATGCATAATTTTCGCCAGTACTCATTGCGTTTGCTTGCAAAATAAAAAGTAAGCTTGTCTTCTTTATAGTTTTACCCTCACCCAAATTATGCTAAGTACTCTAATTTAATTATATACTTGAAATCATACGGACTAGACTCAATTATTAAGGTTATGATCCCTATGGAACCAGCCTTAGCTAAGTGACGTTTATATTTAAAAAGCACAATCACCTGTGTCTCTCTTTCATTAGCTCTAACTTCTTCATGGAAGTTCTCCATTTGCGATAAAATTTTCTCTCGTTCCAACACATTTGCCTTTTGCTGTTTCCTATTGGCTTCTATCTTCTCTTCCACCTGCCTCTTTAGTGTGGATAGAACTTCGTTCATTAGAAGTGCTCGCGCTTCGCGCTCCTTAGCCCACAGCTGGAAGTGTAAAAATGTTAAAGATGTGAACGTTAAGAATTAAAGCGTTATACCTAGAGGGCGCGACTATTTGGTTCGCAACTAAGGACATCGATAATTATATTATAAATTTAAAAGTGAGTTTTATTTTTAAGCTTTGAGCCGACTTTTTATCGCGACAACCAACAAAGTTAGTAATTCATAAAGTCTGGTGTTAAATCCCTACTAATGTTATAAATGCGAAAGTAATTATGTCTGTTCAACGCTGATCTGTTTTTTTTTTGTGAAAATTGGCATGAAGTTACTTTGATTCTTGAGGAAGGAAATAGGCTACTTTTTACCACGGTAATCGACATACACGCTCGCGGAGCCACGGGAAAAAGCAGGCGAATAATACAAGTTAATTCTAATTAGCTAATGTGTAGTAGCGTACAATAGAAGCAGGTCACCTTCCTTGGAGCATGTCTCCCAGATTAATTTTATGAGGAATCTCGATCATAGATATCACAAGATATAAAATTTAAGATACAGATATATATATATATATATGAATATACATATCTGTATCTTCAACCAGTTTCAGACATGGTTATGGATCTAAAACTGATAGTTGCGGGTGGTTTCAATTGCAATGCAAATTCTAACAGTTAAGGATTCAGTATTAGTTATGGGTTTCTAGTGGTTATTTATAGGTATTAGGTAAAGAAAATCAATAGAAATCCCACTCTCAATACACAGAAGTCAGAAAGCTGAGCACTGATCATTGCCAACCACTGGATTAACAGACCAGAAGGCCAATTCTCGTAATAAAAGTTCGGTCTCAATTCCGTTCCGATCAACTTTCGATCTCACAACTGTCATTATTCAAGGTACTTTCGTAGTAAAGTATTATGTATTAAACATCCAACGTTGACTATAATGTGATTAAATCGTATTATAGTGTCTGCTAGTCTTGATAATTCTTTTCAATTTTACTACGAAAATACCTTTTATGACGTATCGATCCCCAGTATTACGTACGTAAAATATGTATAAGTAATAAAACCTTATCTTGCTTGTCGTTGATCTGCCTCGCTTCCCCGTCGTACATAGCTTCTATAGTTCTCTGTCGTTGTCGCTCACGTTCTCTATGCTCTTCCAGTTCAGCAAGAGCCGAGTCTAACACACGTTTGTAATATCCAATCGTTTCTTGTTCAGATTCATGCTCCTAATAAAGATAATATTTATTTAATACCCATTAGCTTTTGTCAAAGACTTATGTCTGCAATTATTTAGGCTCGTAAATACTATTATTTTTAATCCCATCAACCCATGGGAGGCATGCTTCTGCACAAATAAGCCAGATCGGGGGGAGTGATAATAATGTGCCTCACACATCTTACACACAAACTAGGCAGAGCCTAGGTAACCAGACTGCTGATAAACATACTTATATATTTTTAAATACATACATATTATAGATAAATTACAACCAGTCCCAGACACAGAAGAAATGACTGTGCTCATCACACAATATTAGTCCTGGGTGGGAATCGAACCCACAACCTCCGGCTTAGCAGTCAGGGTCACTAATCACTAGCCGGTCATGCAGGCAGTGATAAAATGGCCTCACAGAAAACCGGTGCTAACCAATTCTTTTGTGGCTTTGGCTATGTATTTTATCATTATCTATAATGTAAACATTGTATATATACACTGTCTGAAATATAGACTTATGATTATTATTTTCTGTGCATTAGGTAACCGGAGACCCTAAGCCTTGGTCTTCGTCGCCTTGGGGACTCAGGAGCGTGTAAATGTAACTTAAACTTACCCTTAACAGAGCGTTCCTCAACTTATCAAGCATCAATAAATCTAATTCAATTTCCCCCATAACAGCAATGACTTTCCTCTTCAACTTGTATTTGTGCAAGCCCATATTTACGATAGTGGCCTCTCTTTCTGCTACAAGGCGTGCGTGTTCTCTTTCTCGCTCTGACGATATGAATTGTAATTCATCTAGTATACATTTTTCTCTTTCTTCTTGTTTCCGGAGTCGTTTAACTATAGTTTCTTTCTCACTTAACTCTGCGATTTGGCCTTCTAGACTTTCACGAAGCTCCTGAAAATGACACGTATAAATATTTTTTTTAAATAATTTTCTGACATGCTCTTTTAACTTTTAAGTTAAAAGAACAAACTAAAACAAACAGCAAACAAATAATCTTTTAAGATTTATCAGTCTTGTTTTAGTGTTAGAGAAACTAAGAAGCTATTTAAAATATAACTTAAATGTACTCATTTGAGACAATAATAGAGAATAAAAATAGTGTTACTTTAACTTGTTGCTCTTTTTCTCTTAATCTTTTTTCTTCTATTTCAATCTGTTTACGAAGCATCTCATCTCTCTCTTGCAACACTTTGCGAGTGTCTTCTTCTTCTTTCTTCTTTTGCAGTTCCTTCTCGACTATTTGTTCCATCCTGCAAAAGAAAAATATACATACTACACTCGGTTCCAAAAATTACGGGTCAGTCACAAAAATTGAAATACCTCCAGAACTGTAAAAGTTAGATCAATGAAATAAAAAACAGAATAAAGACTTTTTAGTTGCGCTTCTAATAGCATATTATTTAAACTGGTTGATGAAAAAACTTTATTAGAAAAACAAAATTTAAAAAAATGACTATTTTTAAAAACAAAATTTTTGTTTCATTTCATTATAGATGCTTTCCATTTCTATTCTGTCACAAAAAAAATATTGTGAACGTCTTCCACGTGCATAATTATTATTCTGTGAGGTGAATGGCGTGTGTGAGTGCATGGCAGTCACGCTAGAGGAATGTACCAGAATCCTAACTTTTTTGGAACTTGGGCGGAGCCAGCGTGAAACAGCCAGAAACATTGGTGTATCTTTGTCGACTGTTCAGCGGGTAGTCCAGCGGTACCAAGAGACCGGATCACACCTTAGAAGACCAGGAAATGGCAGACCAAGATGCACAACGGCCAGGGAAGACAGACAACTGGTGGCTACAATGCTCCGAAATCGTTTTCAAACTGCTGTTGGTCTAAAAACTCACTTTATTCGCTTTGGAGGTGGCAATTTAAGCGCTCAAACAGTAAGAAGACGTCTTGCTGAAGCAAATTTGAAACCATTGAGGCCCGCAAATGGCCCCAAACTGGAACGGGGACATCGAATTGCAAGACAGAGATACGTGCGCGAGCACCTAAACTGGACACTAGACGATTGGTCTAGGGTAATGTTCACGGACGCTTGCTTTATTAGCATGATGGTAGGCAGTTGGTGTACAGAAGACCAGGGGAGCGCTTCCATCAAGCGTGTGTGGAGGAAAAAGTGGCGTACGGTGGAGGCTCCGTACAAGTTTGGGCTGGAATTTCTACTGAGGCCCGCACCGAGCTGGTACTCATTCAAAATGGAACTCTAAATGCAGAGAGGTACGTGGAAGAGATCCTCAATGAACATGTAGGTCCTTTCATGGCCAGGATGGACCGGCATGGCATATTAATGCATGATAATGCGCGTCCCCATACCGCCAGAATTGTACATGACTACCTTGAAGAGGTCGGTATCGAACTCATGCAGTGGCCAGCGCGAAGCCCGGACTTAAACCCCATCGAGCACGCCTGGGACGAGCTTCAGAGATGCGTGAAAGGTCGAAACCCCCCACCAATCACGCTTCCCGAGCTCAAACAAGCACTGGTGGAGGAATGGGAAGGTATTCCTCAGCACCGGCTCCGAAATTTGGTGTACAGCATGCGTAATCGCCTGGAAGCTGTCAGAAGAGCTCGTGGAGGCAATACAAAGTATTAAATGAAGAAAGTGATGAAAAACAGCAAAAAAACAATCATAAAAAAATGTAATCTTAGGAAAATACGACTACTTTAGATTTTTTTTAATTTAGAGATAAGTTAAGAGTTAGAGAGTTTAGATTTAAGTTTTATTTTATTTTTTTATCTGTGTATTTTTTTTTTTTTTTAATTCTCAATTGAACAGTCTTCGTTTCATTAGGATGGCATACGTAGTTCGGGAGATATTCGGGTTTATGTGACTGACCCGCTATTTTTGGAACCGAGTTTAATATTATAAACGCGAAAGTGTGTCTGTCTGTTGTTACTTCTTCACGCTTAAACCGCTGAACCGATTTAGATGAAATTTTCTATAGAGATAGTTTGAGTTCCGGGAAAGTACATAGTATACTTTTTATATCAGAAATCATCTTTTAAGTGGGTGAAAAGGGGGGTGGAAGTTTGTGTGGGGAATCAATAACCGCTGAACCCATTTAGATGAAAATTTGTATGGTGACAGTTTGATTCTTGAGGAAGGACATAGGCTTCTCTTTACCGCGATAACCGACATGCAAAAGCTAGTGGCTAAATATTTATTTAGTTTCAGAAATTATTTTGCCCACGGGTCACCTGAGGTCAACTACCGACGACACAAGTACGTCCATCCGCCGTCCGTCCGCCATCTAGTTTCAAACTAAGCAGATCTTGTACTGAAAGCTAGATCGACTGATAGAATACTTTTTTTTTGTAAATACATACATATTATCTTTAGAAAACACCCAAACTCCGAAAGAAATATTTGCAGACCATACAAACATTTGTTCCGACCCAGGAATCGAACCCGAGACCTCAACACAGCAGTCGCATATGCTACCACTGCACCACCAAGGCAGTCGATTTGTGGCGAAGAAGCATGGTCCTCCCACGGTACATGAGAGTTTGTCATGAGTTTGTTTATAAAAAATGCATTCAATTTTTTATAAATTAATTCTTTAAAAAGATGTATTCGGATAGTGAGATGATATATTATATTATTTTATTTATTTTGTTAACTCACAGCATGTAACATTTATGGTAAAATATAGGTACTAAAGTTACAAGCTAAAACAGCGTTCACAGTTTACACAACATATTAAAATAAAATCACATTGTTATAAAGAAAACCACTTTCTTAATCTAGTGAGTTTTTTTATGGTTGTATTAACGCTGATCGTTTAAATTTCGTACGTGCGTACGTACTTATCAGTTTAAATTTCGAGGTTTGCCAAGTGATTTCAGTATTTTTACACTGAAACTGGTTCTCTCTGTGATTATTACCATTCTACGGTTTAGACATAAATTCTAACAATTTTAGATAACAAGGCTATTAAAATCAATTGTTGCACTGATTTAGGGCCCACGCAGCCTAAATTCACCTCTCTTCCGGCCTTCTTACTTTGTTACTTACCACGCACACTTAAGTTTATTGTTAGCGACGTAAGCGGTGGCAGCCCTCAGTTCCGGCTGGCGCAGTCTCCACGCGTGGTGAAGCCGCAGTTCAGCTTCGTGACGACGCAACTGCTCTTCTTTTTCTACGATGCCTTGGTTGATGTCTTTGAGGGTTGATGTAGGAACTTTATTTAAGTAAGACCTAGAAGGTAATTTGATAATTAGTTTGACCTCAAGTTACTTATGTTATAAAAATAAATAACGAGGAACATCGCGTTACGTGATCGCATTATTTGTCTGTAATAACATACCTAGTTATTTAAGATAATTCAATATCGATCTATCTATTAGATTATACTACTGATATTTAAGGTCATAGAGGTATAGGTGTAGAGAATCTGCTGTCCACTAGAGTTCCATGCTTGAATATCCTAATTGCCATATTCGTTTGTTCTCTGTGGTGGTCAACTGAGCAAATTATTTGGAATATAGATTTTAAGTTTAAAATTAATTTTATTTGAATAACTATAGCTTCATTACTTCAACCCAAATAGAACCTCTATAGACATTTCTTCATAAGGGAAATCCCCTTTATAATATTAGTAGTTACTAGTAAACAGAACCCCAGCTAAATAACTGTTAAATTGAAATGGTAAAAGCTTTAGATTACGGACCCGTTCTTAAATAACTTCGGTTTGGCCGAGAGACTTTTCAATTCCTGTTGATATTGCATGTTTTCTTGAAATAACAGTAGTTCCAGTTTTTTGCGCCGCTCTTCGAGTCGTCTGAAACAGTTTACGCAACTAGTTTATTAATAAATATTGTCTTTTGGCTAGCTGGCCAACTTGTAAACTACAATAAGAACTGGAGTTTATAATTTTTTATTAACATTTTATGTTAGTGGGGGCAGACTAGCAGACAGGTCATCTGGTGGAAAGTGACCATCGCCGCTCATGAATGTCTGCAACTCAGGAGTCACAAAGGCGTTGCCGGCCTTTTAGGAAGGACTACGCTCTGCGCCATTTATGTGAATAATTCACTTTGGCAATCATTAGTCAATTTCATCTCTTAGTGGTGAGATGTCCAGATGTTACTATGCAATGTTTTCTGACTGAGCCCTTAATACAGCACTTAACCAATTTTTTAAAGATATTGTTTAACTACTTTGCAAAGATCTGATTTCATAGAAATAACAGTAAAATCTATTTGAAATAGCAGCCTCCATCTTTTTCTGGACATAGTGAATAGATTACGCGGTGAATGTGTCAACTTAATTTCCCTTTAACTTCAATGGTCATCGTTATATTTCAGCAAGTTTATACTCAACCTTAATGAATTACACACCTAAACTTTATTCACAAATTACTCACAGAAAGACAGATACATCTATTTATATATATAGACAGCAGGAAGATGTTTTTAAAGCATCTATGAATATGTAGCAGTACTCTAGTACTGCCACATATTCATATATAATTTCTAAAGTAATGCTAAAGTTCCACTCACGCTGCCCTGATCTTCCTCTGACCTAGTTGCTCTGCCTCTTTATTTGCCTTCTCATAATATCCTTCAGTGGTCCACTGTTCATGATGCCTGGTCTTATTAGTGTTTGTCTCAAAATAATTGGCCACCTTCCTTAATTCTTCAGCTCGCCGAAGTTCATTGTCACGACGTTGTGCAGCTAAAGCCTGAAGTTGCCATTGTGGACGAGGACGAGACATTTTCTCTAAAAATTATAAAACATAATAAAAATTTACCTCTTTTGCTGTTAAAGTGACAAGAATCGTTTTAACGTGGGGTAGCCAAGCCATATATAGACCAGGTGGACTAGAGTAATAACATGGGATCACAGAAAACTAATGTTATGTTAGGACTCATCGTCATTATCACTGTCCGTGTGGTGACATATTAAGAATATGGAGTGTCACCACCCCTTTTCATTCTGTGGGTATCACTAGAGCCCACTAAGGGAGTAAATTATGCAGGACAACAGTACTGCAAAAAAGAAGGAAAACTTGACACAAACCCTATACTAACCCGTCTGGCCAGTGTGGTATAGTAGGCCAAAACCTCCTTTCTAAGGAGAGGCCTATGCCCAGCAGTTGACTATTAAAGGCTGTTGTTGATGATAATTATGAGTGAGTGAGGTTATAGGAGGCTCAACCCTGTAGTTCGGAAGGGAGGAAAGCACTGAAAGGCTAGCTACACACTTGTGATTCAAGAGTCAACCCAAGGATTGCAGATGTCCATGGCCAGTAGTCACTTTCCATAAGGTTACCCGTATGCTCGCTTGCCCTGTTTAAAATAAAAGAAATTACAAACAAGGATGTTCTTAAGAATAGTAGATAATATAATTGTAAAAGTACATGGAATATTAGTAATGCTTTTAAAGTAGATATTATCAATTCTCAAACAGTTGAGAGTAAGTTTAATACTGCAATAACACAGAAGAACCTGAAGCCTATCTAGATGCTTCAAAATTCTCATAATATCTAAGGCTAGAACTAATAAATAATGTAATATTTTACGTTTTTGTTAAATATTACTGTTAATTTTTATGCAAAAATTGATTAGAGGTCATGCAGTGGGACTTCAAAGAGTGCAACTTTAATTATAATTCTATGCTCATAACATCAATAATATTCATGATATATTAACTCATAATTAAAATCATTTCTGTAATATGGTCAGATATTCTGAAGGCATTTTTTATTTTTTTCAGATTGTTATGAAGAAAGGTTTTTTGCGACATACATTCTATGAATCCAAGTATAGGGTAGTCCGAGTCTAAATATAACATTATCAATAGTATAATTATATCTAATTTATACTTACCCTTACTTTTGAATTATCAAATGGCAAGAGTAGCAAATGAAATGGAAAAAATCCTTCTTGTCAATATAAATTTTAAGTTGACATAGTATACAAAACAATATTTGCATCACCTCAAAGGTGGTTGAAATACACCCACTTAAAAATCTCAATAGTGACTTACCTACCTTAAGACAGCACTTGGGTGTGTGGTGAAGCAAACTGTACACTGTGATAATGAAGTTATTATTCAGTATGATCAATGTAAATCAAGGTAATTACTATATAAGGCCAATTGTGTCCAAAACTGTGCAAAATGAGTCACTGTGAGATCAATAACACGATACAAGCCACCTCTGGTTGACTGCACACGGTTTGAATCCACTGCGAAATGATTCAACTCAATTACATGTCTGTTACATTTACTCGCGTGGGTGCTAAAACGAACCGTAATTGGAACTTCTGAGGTCAGACGGATTACGTTCAATTCAATTTACTTCCTTACAATTTATTTTTATAGTATGCATTCACGCTATTTCAAATTAACGGCGTCGGTAACAGTATTGACGCTGATAAAAAAAAATAAACTATGTCACGTCAAAGTGACAGTTGCCCAGCAACGAACTACGTTCCAATTTTCATAACATACCCTTGTTATTTCGACTAACCATTTACATTTTATTTCGCACAATTCACATTATTTGAATAATTGCATGTTTCGGCATAATACACTTTAATTACTCAAAAATAATTTATTCTTTTGACATTTTTCATACTTTTAGTTTTCTTAGCTAACCGTAAAATTTAAAGCAAAAAGATAGAGTCAAAGATTTGCCGAACTAAGGCCTAAAATAAAATTTTGAAATATACGTTTTCAATCTTTACCTCTGTTTTATAAATAATAACCAGCCAAGTGAAAATAAAAAACTTAACTTAAAGATTAATATAGAGTAATAAAGTTAAAATAAAATAAAGAGTAATAAAATCAACAATTGATTTTGACATAGTTTTTGTTCAACAATTCAGAGATCAATATTTACAGTTAATAGGTAACTAATAGATACAATAAAACACCGGTTTGAGGCTCCTGAACATGGGAAATGTCTGTAAGGTAAGGAGAAAGTAATCGCGCTCTCTTACAAACCTGTAGGTATGCATACCTACAAAAGTGATGATAATATTAACTATAAGTTATATCAGTTTTAATATTCAAATCAACTTAACAAATCATATTAAAGTATATTTTATTCAATTTTTTATGTGTCTAGCAAGCACGATACTGTGGATTTTAGATGCGTATCTTTTTGGCATACATTTTTAAATCCTGTTCTTGGTCTTGAGTAGGTCTTCTAAGTATTCTAGGTATTCTAGATTTCTATACTTTTGACTGTTTTTAATGGACTTCAAAAAAGAAGGAGGTTCTCTTTTGTCTGCATGTATTGTTATGTACGTTGACCGTTTTCACTGTTATTTAAATTATTATAATTTTGTTGTATGGTTACATTTAGGGTTTATTAGTTAAAATGAAGGTTTTGATTAGTATGAAGCCCCTCACTGCTGTGGTTGACCTGGTCCGATTCCGATACACCACTTCACCGCAAACCCCGGCCCGAAGGGGTTGCCTATGCATGCCTATGCCTAAGTCTATCTATCAAAGACCAATTTCGTTTGGTACCGTCTTCAAACAGACGAAAAGGTAGGTAGGTACTTAATGCTAAATATTATATTAAAACTTTGACCACGTCAATCGTGTCGTCGTCTTTTCAATTAAGTTTTTAATCTAAAGTTTCTTAGTATTTTCTGGGCTCTGTTAGTATTTTGTAGTCACTTTAACTTTTTTAAAGTGTTTATTAACAGAGAACCGGGTTTTGTCACAGTGAGGGAATGGTATACAGCAATTTTATTAATAAGTCCCCGACGTTTAATAGCTGGCTCATCCAGCGTGTTCACTTGCGGTACTTAATCCATACATACCGTTAATATTTCCTCTCTATGTAGCGTTATTGCCACGACCGAATGAGTACTAAAAATAAGATGTAAGATGGGATGAAACACCTACAACGTGAGTTGTAGAGGGTGTTTTAATTCAGAAGAAACGACCACTCAGATTATCCTAAAGTACGAGGAAGTGCCGACACAACAGACAAGTATTCTTGATAAAAGCTCGTCCGTAGAAGCCAGCGCACGCCCTGGGTGGCATCTGTGCTTCTGGAAGAAATTAACTTGGCTCACCTAGCCACTCATAATCACACGTAACGTTTTTGCTTTTATGGCTAAATTCGGGAATTACTCGTATATCCCTTTACCAATCCTAATATCGATGAGGCGCAAATAAGACTTAAAAAGTCACCGATATCAGGATTAAAAATAAATAATGGCGGGCAAAGATACAGCTGAGTTTTTATAAGCAATGTCACAGCTTTATAAAAGGAGTTTGAAATAGGATAAAAGACGATAATGGGAAAGTAAAGGATAGGTTTAACCACGGGTTTCACTCACTTTGCAAGTATCCTTTATTTTGACTTTCTTGCTTCGCTTAGTATTAATTTTAACTTGATAAGAAATAACTTTAACATCAATTTTAATCACAATAATAATAATTCCACACATCTCTCACACATAGTAGCCTGCTCTTTAGTACTGTACTAAGTATGGTAATCAAGGCCCATCGTGTTGCTGGACTGGTAAATTATTTGAGAGGGTTCTACCTGCCCGCATTGTCCGCCACCTCTGCGAGTTGAGCTCCGATCTGTCAGACGCCCAATTCGGTTTTTAAGCGGGGCGTTCGACGGTCGGCGCTGTGTGACTCAAGACCGTGACCAAAGAGGTGGTTCCTCCCTACCCACGCTTCGAAGCTGGGCAGAACGGCTCTGACGGCGCGTTGGCCAGCACAGCCCTGGATTACAAGCCATGCCTGCCATGCCGGCAGAGCCTGCGTATGCGCATTCCGCCGTAGCATTCCGGGCTCATGATCCGGCGCGGCCTCCTCTCCATTCCGGCCGACACAACGAACTTAGCCACCATAGCGGCCAGAACGTCGAACGGTGGATATCGCGTAGAGCTAGATCTGAGTAGAGCCTTGCAGCGGGAGGCACCCGCCAAGTCATTAGACCAGACGGGGCGGCCCATAACTCTTTTCTCAAGAAAAGTGTTACTCCTTCCTAAAGTCCGGCAACGCGTTTATGTCTCCTGAAATGCAGGCATTAATAAGCTCGTTTCGCCCTCTTACATAAAAAAAACTTGTACTAACAATTATTCGACCTGTACAGTTATAAGTCACCTCAGTAGTATAAAAATTGGAAAAACTGTACTTTACCATTACAGCTACTCATGGTTATGCTATTAAGCTACAGCGTGTCTACGCCATAATGACAGAACCCTTCAAACTATTACGATATTCCGGATTACTGGCGTCGGTGGTCGCTGCTCACTGTTTTGTGGTTAACGAAATAATAGGGCGCCTTTTTATATTATCCTAGTGTCTATTGTTAGTTTAATTGCGGAAGTGGTTTTATTTTATTCTTCATCATAGATTTGTTTCTGACGCTGCATCGTTTTCATTCAAGGTGTATCTACATATACGTATATCTATAACAGATAGATTATCTTCATCATCCTCCCAGCCTTTTCCAAATTAACTGCACAGATGGCAGTGGTTTAAGCAGTCGCCTAGCCGCTTTCTACTACGCTGAGTGTTGTGATTCGATCCCCACATGGGAGGACACTTTATGTGATCCACAAATTGTTGTTTCGAGTCTGGGTGTTCTTTGTGTCCGTTTCATGAATGTTTGTAAAGTCCCCCGTGACACAGGATATATTCCTAGTGTGGGAGCTGCCTGCGTAAAAAAAACAAAGGCACTCCGGGAGTGCCGACAGGATATATTCCTAATGCGGGAGTTGTCTTTAAAAT